AAATCATGTGATGTTTGTGAGCATCTGTTGATTGTTTGTTGTTTTTTTTTAAAGATTTTATTTATTTATTTGACAGAGAGACACAGCCAGAGAGGGAACACAAGCAGGGGGAGTGGGAGAGGGAGAAAGAGACTTCACGCGGAGCAGGGAGCCAGCCGGACTTGGGGCTCTATCCCAGGACCCTGGGCCAAAGGCAGATGCTTAATGACTGAGCCACCCAGGCACCCCATGTTGATTGTTTTTTGTATGTGAGTTAGACTTCCCTGGTTCTTTCAAAGTTCTCCAAGTCTTTGATATACTAATTAGGACCTGATCCTTGCTTAATGTATTCTGTGAGGTCACTCTCCTGAGCTCTTCCCTCCCTACAGTCTCCATGGTACTTTCCCCTTCTCTGGGACTCCCCTTTTCAATTCTCTGGGCAGAAAGCAGGGGCTTTAGGAACCATGCATTTCCAAATGCTTACATTTGGAGCTCAATGGCTTAACATCTTTGTGTCTTGGTCCTCATCTTTAAATGTAGATAGTAATACTATAATGACTGGCATATAGAGCTAAATAAAAGTTACCCAATATTATTTTTATTAAATTTTACCGTCTCAAACTGTTAATACAGATTCAGTTTTCTCAGATTTTAAAGCAGTTTTTATCTAGGTTTAGGCATGTATGGGGAAGGTAAACTATGCCCTGGGCATCACTAAAACAGCTGATGAAACTAATTTTTGGTCTTTGTCAATAGTTTTACTTTTTGGTAACTTTAATTATAAATACAAGCTCCAGATTGTAGGATAAATTGTTGGGTTCTGACATGTAATTTTTCCTGTTAATGAACAGAGCTTTATGGCGAATGGAAATGAAACAAATAATCCCTTCTGCTAAAGAGTTTACATCTTAGCTAAATAGACAATAGATTTATACATTAATTGACTAGAAAAGTTACAAAGTAGTACTAATGTGTCAGAGATAAAGGGAAGCCATACTTCATGATTTGCCTAGGACAGTCCTACTTTATTTTTTTGGGGGGGGCATGTATATAATTGTTAATAGAGCCTCTGGTTAGGATGATAAATTACATGGCTACCTTACAGATACTAGTTAGTTTCAAGAGAATGAAAGGAAAGCAATCACCATATCTTCAGAAAGTTTGCTAGGCCTGAGAATGAGCTGGGTTGAAGGTTGAAGGGCCCCAACATAATAAAGAAACACTCAGAACTTTGAATAGAAATGTGGGAAAATGCTGTTTTAGAAGGCAGTTATGTCATAACATGCAGGATAGACAAATGACAGATACTACTGTAATTAGATAGATATGAGGTGATATGACCTTTGCTGGTTTTGCTATTCTACAAAGTTTGGATTCTACTTTTTAGGAGATTACTACAAAAGTTTCAACCTAAAAATGCACCAAAGAAAGTCTATATAGCAAGTAATTAGTATAGTTTTACCTCACAATTGGAGGATTTTAGAGAAATGTGATTTTTAAAAATAGACTATTTTTTATAGCAGTTTAGGTTCATGGCAAAATTGAGCAGAAGGTACAGATATTCCATATATGCCCTTTCCTAACTAGTTTCCTATCACTTTCTACTGTGATAACACGTTTATAGTCTCGCTTGTTATCAAAATCCCCAATCAGAGGGATACAATTGATGAACCTATGTTTGATGATGGTTATTTTTTTTTAAACTCTTTGAGTTTTTTTCCTTTCACTTGACTAAAAACTAAAATATTAATGTTTATCATAGTTCTGTGTGAAATCAGATTATTTCACCACTGCTTAAATCATGTGATTATTGTTCAGGTGTTTTTGGTGGCTAGGGTAAGTGAAGCGATGGCTTGCTTGAAGCTAAAAAGGAATCTTAATCCTATTGAAATGAAAACTCACAATAAAGTATAAACTGATCTTGAAACTGGTTTTCATATGGATAATTCCTTGATGATTTTTCTCGAGATTTTGGGCTTTGATTTGCAGGGCCATAGGAGAGGCAATTTTAGTCATTAGTGATTTATTATAATGGACCATTGTAGCAACTGGAAGAAGACAGAATTCTGGCTCAAGGTCCCTCTTTTACACCGAAAATCAGTTTCCTAGCTGGTATTTCTCAGCCACAAGAACAGACTGTTGAAAAGTTTCCCCACGTCCCAGTGCTTTGAAATGACTCATAAGCTGGCAATATGTACTAAACGCCAAGTTACTTCCACTCAAAAAAATGATCTCCACAAATTTTGTTTGCTCTCTATTTGAAGTCTCATGAGAGAATCTCACACCATTTTTGTGGAGAAAAAAGTGGAGTAATTAGACATAGCTGGTTAATTCATAATTAGAACTAATTAATTTGGAGAAATGTTTAACTGGTTCTAAGAATTTAAAATTTATTTACTCCTCATAAAAATCTTGGAGGTTCATAATAGTCTTTTTTACAATTTATAAAGGATGAAACCAAAGCACAGAAATTCACCCCCCCTCTCAAAATGTAAAACTTCACCAGTGTTCATCCTACCCATAAATGTCATTGCTTAGTTGTTCAAGCCCAAAACACAGGCATCATCCTTGATTCTCTTTCTTCTTCTATACCACAACCAACCCAATATCAAGATCTTCAATTCTCTCTTCCAAAATATTTTGAAGTTGGCTACTTTTCACCTCTACTGCTTCACTTCTACGCCCAGTTCTGGACTGCATCTCCCACATGGTCTACTGAAATAGCTTCCCTACATGCCCCACTGCTTTCCCTCTTGATCCCTCCCTGACAACAGCTTATTCTCTGTACAGTAGCTAGAATGATCTTTTAGAACTGTAAATATGGTCATGATACCTTCTGGTTGAAAGTCCTCCAAAAGATTCCCACCCTAGAATTTATTGAATTCTTGAATTCAATTGAATTATTGAAACTCCTTATAATTCTGTACAAGACCATACTCCATCTGGCACTGCTTACCTCTCCTAACTAGTTGGCTATCAATTTCTACTTATTTCACTTTGCTTAAACCATACTGTTTTTCTCATTCCTCATCAAAATTCATTCCCTTCGTAGGGCCTTGGTACTTATTCCTTTTGTCTGGACTGCTTTTCTCTCAGAGTACCTTTCTCACATACTTCAGTAAAGTCTTTGTTCAAATGTCATCTCCTGAGAGGCCTTCCCCGATGACACTACCTAAATTAAGCCCTCTATTTGTCTGGCTTATTATATTTTTTTCCATAGCATTTTACACTACTTGAATTTCTCTGTTTATTTTTGTCTTCCCATCAGAATGTAAATTCTCTGGCTGAGGTAAGCACATTGATTAATTTGTTTTTTGCTGTACCTCTGGAGCTTAGAACATGTCTGACACTTAATAGGTATTCAAATATTTGTTGAATGAATGAATGAGTGAACTTGTATACAAAAGGTATTCTTTATGATTTTTTGTTTCTTTGTTTTTTCGATAACTTTGTAGAGGAATAGTCAAAGAGCTATGAAGTTTAACAATGCATATGAAACAGCTATTTAAACTGAATAACTTTATACAAATGCTGGTTATCCCACTTGTGATTATTACCTATTGGTTTCCTCTGGATTTCCTCTTTATTCCTGCCCTGGGTCTGGACAACATGAAAACAGTAATTATTTAATTCGAGTAAGTCTGAATTTTGAAATACCTGTTGTGTTCAGGGCTGTTGAGTGTTAAAAGGGATTGAACAATGTGAAAACTTTAGTCTTCTAATGTCTAGGAAGAATTTAACTTTCTAGTTGGGGAAAATGAGATATGCACAAGAGAAACTCTAGAAGATTTCAAATACAACAAAGAAGTAACAGTGATAGAAAGCAGTAAGAGCAAAAGGAATTTAGAATGTTGGAAAGATTCTTCCGTTAGTGGGTTTAGTGTAGGAAGCAAATCTTAAAAGGCCGATGGTACTCGGAGTTTGTGTGTGTAGTGAGAGATAAATTATCAGAATCTTTTATTAGCCAATGTTCAAACATTAGCCTGATAAATAGCACTTTGGGTGTGCTATTTATTGGCACTGATAGAGCGTCAAGAGAAAATGGGTGGTTTCTTGGCTGTATCTACAGCTATATCTGTACCTGTATCTATCATTCGATTAACTGCATATATCCGTTGAGGTAGTTCCTCTACTAATCTTTTCCATCCTCCATTGTGCTTAAAACCTCCTTAGAATTTTTACTGCTGTGCCAGCTAATTTGTTACAAACCTCATGCCTATTAATAAGCTATAACCTCATGGGACTGCCGTATTACTTTTGATAATACTTATGAAGTGCTGAGACTCCTGAGCGTTTGTTCAATAAATCAATAAATGTTATCATTATTATAAAAGAAATGTAACTGACGCAATAACACTAGCGAAATCGCGATCTCTTCCATAGGGGAGATGGAAACAGGTAAGGAAGGAGTCGAGCGGGCTCCACAAACTTCGCTCAAATTGACACGATCACCGGCCGCGCCCCTCATTTAGATCAATACCTCCTGGGCTCTAAGGCTGCCCACCGCGCCAGCCAGCCTAGGCTCCCGGAAGGTAAACACATCGAAAAGGGCGGGACAGAAGGCGGGTTCGGGATGGATGACTGGCCAGCAGAAAGTGATTGGCAGCTGCCATGTCCACGTGCTTTGTGCTTCGAACTAGCTGTCGCGAGAATTCGATGTAAACAGACCGGTCCCCCGACCTCCGACTCCCAGCCCGAGACGCGTAGCTGAAGTGCACAGGAGTCTGCGGCATGATTCTTTTCGACAAAGCCACGTAGGTGTGCTGTCTGCAAAGAAAAACAGACGTGTTCGTAACTCTCCTTACCTGCCTGCGTTCGCAACCGAACCTGACACCTCGGCTTCACCCGAACTTACATACTGTTTTGTTTTCCCTGGAGCCCCAGCGGATTGGGTAAATTCAGGAGGCGGGTCCGCCTCTTTTCTACTTGCTGGTTGGCGAAGCTGACCTCCAAGGGCGGTGCCCGGCCGTAGCCAGTTTCCTTCTGGGATTGGCTAGAAAAGTAGTTCCGCTGAGGCGTGGTAGGAAGTGGTAGCCGTCAATCACAAGGGGAGACTCCAAACAGTGAGCCTTGAGCTGGGAGAACAGCGTTTACCGGCGGGGCGGCGGGTGAGAGGGCTGGTGGGGCTGTGGCTTTGGGGAGGCTTGGAGAGGACGAGGGGCAGGCAGCGTGAGGGGAGAGGGCTTGGCTGGCAGGGGTTCGACGAGGGAGAGCTAGCGAGATTGGAGGGGGAGGGGAGGAAGGGCAAGGGGCCAGAGGGCGGCCGGGGGCAGCGGTGGCTCCGCGTTGGAGGTTAAGTGGGTAGAGCTGTGCTAGTGTCTTTTAGGAGAGTGGGGCCTGAGGGGCTGGCGAGGGTCGTCCTCAGGAGACAGGGCCCTTAAAGGACATTTCTTGGGAGGCTGTGTTTCGGGAAATAAAGGGTGGAATGGAAATGAGAGGGCTGAGGGGCTGGTGGTGATGATACCTACTGAGGAAGGGGTGCCTGGGCTAGGTGGGGCAAGGGGTGTTTTTGTAGTAGCAGATGAGACTCATCAGTTTGGGAATTTTCAAATAAGGTGATAGAATCCTCCCTACTTGGAAGTGATGGTTTTAGGGGCTTTCAAGATTGCTTCCAGGCTGTGGACTTTCCTGAGCCCTGAAAGAGATCGTTAATATTGCTGTCAATCCTCTTTTAACCTTAACCAAGTACACTCCATGCTCTTAAAACCTTCCAGGTGATTCAGATGCTCATTGGACATTTCAAGGATCAGGATTCAGTGATGTGATAGGAAAGGATAAAGGGCTTCTAATGTCATATAAATTTTTATTACTTATTTAGGCTCTCGTGTTTAGGTTACAATAGCAGGGGGTTGACAAATATGGTTTAAAAACTCTTGTTAGATTATGACCATGCAGTCCTTTTTTTTTTTTTTTTGATAGCCATAATCAGCATATAACATTGTATTAGTTCTAGGTGTACAACATAATGTTTTTTTTACAACATAATGTTTTGATATTTGTACATATTGTGAAATGATCACCACAATAAGTCTAGTTAACATTTATCTATACATAGTTACAGTATGCAGTCTTGCTCATAGTTTCCCAACAGTCTTAGTTGGAAGGCATTAATTATTTCACTGTCCATTAGGTCTCAAAATATTGTGCCATGTGTATTTTCACTATTTCAGGATTTTAGTACAATTCTTTAATTTTGGCTCAGAGATAGCACATTTGTTTTTATTAGGAAATCTTGTGTTAGACTCTCCATCCCTTACCTTTCTAGCTTATGTTAACAGAGGATCAGAGGGTCCAGAAAGAAAGAGTCTTAACTAGTTCTGTGGTTCTGAGGCTTAGTCCAAATAAAAAAAAATTCATGATAATTAGAAAACTTCTTTATCTACTTCCTCCCCCAGTCTACCCTCTTTCTCTTGTAATGGGGATTGCTGGGAAGGTTTCCTACATTTTAGGCATTTTCCATAAGGGATCTCTAGTGAGGAACCATAAACCCTTACCCCTACCCACAACAATAATAATCCATTTTTTTTCCCTATCTCTTTGTGCTGGAAACAGGTTTAGCAAATGAAGCTATGGCTACAGATTCTCCCAGAAGACCCAGTCGTTGTACTGGTGGAGTTGTGGTTCGCCCCCAGGCTGTCACGTAAGCAAATTTCAGATAAGCCTAAAAGCTAAAGAGAATTTGTTCAGAATAGTAGCTAGTGTTCGGGTTCCTTTCTGAACATTGACTACTTTTGTAAAATCTATTTAATTTTGGCTTCACAGGATGATAAATATTGCCAAGACCAAATAAAAGGAATAACTGGAGGATCAAGTTAATGTATTCACATTTATAGGGTACATCAAAAGCCTGTGCTAAATCCTAAGAACTAATGTTTTTTCAAACTCCAGGTTCAAAAATGATGGCTCGTTAGATCAGTTCAGTGGATCAAGACCAATATTTAAAAAATGAAATAGCATATTATAGAAAATATAGTTGGGAATATTCTTTTGTGACACACACTATTCATATGTATGTATATGTTGACCAGAACCTGATGTAAAATGTATCTCTTATTTAGGTTTCAGTCAGAAGGTTTCAAAGTCAGTGTCATAAAGAATACATTCTGTATTTTAAGCATTCTTTGCCAAAGCCTATTCATACTTTCTAGGAGCATATGATCTAATGTGGTTTTAAGATATGTATACTTGAGATCACTGTAATCAATAAAAAAAGGTGCCAGCAAACCATGAGAATTGGGAGGGAGTATTTTAGTGGGAGTATTTAGTGGGAATATTTTAGTATTTTAGATCCTTAAGGGTTTATTAAGAAGCTAACTTAATGTACTTTAAAGGCTGAGTAGAGTTTGGGCAATTAGAATCAAAGGTACATTTTAGACAAAGGGAATAGAGTGAGCAGATGTGGGTAAGGCAAGCTATTTTCATAAATGAAATATAGGGAAGTTGACCTATATAAAGTAGGTTAGCGTGGACAGTGAAGATCCTTCATTATCTGGATAAGGAGGTGAAACTTGTTTTCTACCTTTTAAAATGTTCATAAGGGAATTGTAGCATTTTATATTATTCCCTTGGGCAGTTTAGCATGTTACATAAAGATTGCCCTCTCAGACTAAGAAAAGTATATGTATAATATAGTATTTTGCTATAATATTTCCTTTTTTTTCCTCCTGGGTTTCCCTGGGCCATATTTGTTTGCTAACAACTATGGACCATGGCAACAAGTTAAGCATGTTATTAGCTATGAGTTAGGTACTCTTTCAGTCTTCATTTTACAGGTGAGAAAACCAAAGCAGGGAGAAATTAATTAAATTGTCCTTGGGAATAGCCAAGAAGGGGAACCTGGATCAAACCCAGGCAGTTTGTCCCCAGAGTCCGTGCACGTCGACAGTATTCTATGTTGCCTCACTATAGAATATGTGGTATCCAACTTATATTGCTTTTTGTTATTCAATACATAATTTTAGTGTTTTTAAAAAATCTTTTATTTGTATTCTTTTAACAAATAATGCTTGAGCATCTACTGCATGCCTGAAGTACTGGTTTAGGGATTCTGGAGATAGAAGGTAAACATGAGAGTTGGAGTCCTTTCTGTAGTAGAGTTTACATTCTAGTGGGGGAAACAGTAAATGAGTAAAGTGATTACAGGCTCTGATCAGCACCCGGTGTGCTCTGATAGAGAATGACAGTGGGGAGTCTGACTTCAGGCTGTCAGGAAAGGCCTCTCTGAGGAGGTGACACTTAAGCTGGAGAAATGAAAGGGATGGAAGAGTATGGGAAGGAATCCAGGCAGAAAGAAAGCTGGCATAAAGGTCTTGACTCAGAGAGCTTGGTGTATTCTAGGAATGGAAGTTGCAGGTGACGGAAGCAGAGTGAGGAGAGTGGCAGAAAAATGAGAGGGCAGAGGCAGGCCTAATCAAATTGTTGTGTGTGTGTTTTTTGTTTTTTTAGGCCTAATCAGTTTTTGTAGCTATCTAAGGCATATTGCTTTTTTATAGGATTTAGGATAACTCATGTATGAGTTTCTTCAAATGTAATTTTTCACATGAAATGAAATTAATTTGATTTGGTATTTTGAAGAATTTTTTTCCACTTGCTGAAATGCATATACTTCCCATTTAAAATCTCTTAGTGACCTTACCAGTATCATTTTTCTTCACTTTTATGCATTTTAGTATTTTCCCATGTCTTGTCTATGGCAAAAATTCTGTGAGGATTTCTTAGTATCTCCTAATGCCTGCGCCTGCAGCAAAATGCCAATTGATTTTGCTATATACAGGTAAAGGACTAGGTACATAACCAGTTTAAAGAGGAGGTCACTAAGTACTGAGTCATCAGCCACAGTTTTTCTTGCTCTGACTGGGGAATTCTTTTGCTTTGACTCAAGAGGAAAGTCCTGCCTTAGCCTTGTGTCATCACTCCTTCAAATACAAGTTAGAATATCTATGTCAAATTAAGAGAGCATGGCTTTTAAGAAGAGATGATGTTTAAAAAGATTAATATCTCATTTGCATTTCATTTAATAACATATACAAAGAAACTAGAAAGCAGGATAGCAGAATTACCGGTTGATGAGAGTTAGTCTTTTTTCTTTTTTTAATATTGTGAGTAATTTTCTTAGGGGCTGTAGAAAGCACTTTTCCATGTTTTGTTTTAAGCTGTCAGGGTAAATTTTATCCATTTCCCTCTTTTTCAGGGAGCAGTCCTACATGGAAAGTGTTGTGACTTTTCTACAGGATGTCGTGCCACAGGTAAGTGTCTGTGTAGTTTCAGAAATATAGTAGGTTTTACCATTGGCCAGGGAAGTTCTGAAATGTTCTCTTTCCTAAACTTGACACTGGTATCATCAACTTCAGAAAGACTTCTGATGTTTTAGCATCCCGAGCATTGGTAGGGTAGAACTATCCATGTTAGTATTACATGTGCCTTAGTTTTATGCTGATAGTGATACAATTATGATTCCTCAAGACTTGCTCTCCTGAGAGGAATCAGGTGAGATGTTAGTTGAGAGATGGGACTTGGGATTCTGTAGTTGGGTTTTATTTCCAGAATCTTTCTCTTGCCCTAGTTAAATGTTGCCTGTCTGAAGTGATCGTTGCATTTCATTAACTAGACATTATATTAGCTAAATACTACACTGAGCACAAATCTACATGTCTTTCATGGTGAGCAGTATTTTTATGCCAAGTAGGGTATGCTTTGTTACTCTAACTTATAACTGAGTTCTCTCTATATAAATAAAGAATGAGAGCAACCATCCTGGGATCATATCTAGCGCACTGTTGCCCAGATTTAACATAAGTATCACTTGGCACATGTGTTAAAAATAATCATTTCCAGGCCCCGTCCCAGAGAGTTTGACTCAGTGGAATTGAGGTGGCATCCAGTAACGTGTGTGTGTAGTGAGAACCTCCAGGGAGTCTTGTGAAACAGAGGCTGTGGGAAGCTCTGTTCAGTGGAGCTACTGAAAGGAAAGGTATTTTCTCCTTGTGGTGATGTCAGTGTTTCCTGACTGCCAGGCTATCTGTAACCTTGCTGTTGAAAAAAGGAATTCATAGATCCAGTGTCCCAGCTTTATGACAGCATCCTAGAAAAGTCTAAAATCCAGATTTCAGTTATATTATGTAAGTTGTATTTATCAAATAAGGGAAAGTATCAGGAAATGTTGATACTCCTTTATCATGTTCAGATAACTTTAATGGAAATGGGTCACAATGACGAGATCTCTGGGGCATGTAAGGGATAATAAATGCTTTCCTATTTTGAGGAACTTGGTTACTAAGGGAAGTCAAATTGCTGAAACAGCAGAGTTTACAGCAGCATTTCAGTAAGTGTTATACATGATAGTACAGATTGAATATGTAATTGCTAAGAGAATGAGTAGCAAAGAGAGTGAAAGTCAAATTCTAAAGGACACTGGAAATAGCAGTTGAAATGAATGGAAAGGTTGGGTATTGGATGTTGGAGGAAACTGGCTAGCTGGGTATGGCAGGCAACAGAGTTGCTGTCCAAGAGCATCTTGGACTCTGCACAGAATGCCAGTTCTAGAGAGTAACCTGGGGCTGAAATCCAACCTGATCTCTCCAAACTGCTCTTTCTCTTAAGCCCTGAGCCCTGGCATGAGGCTGGTTCCAAGGAAGGGGCATTTAAAAATTTTTGTAATTTGCCTGCCCCTAGAGTGCCTCTTTTTTTTTTTTTTAAAGATTGTATTTATTTACTTGACAGAGAGAGAGAGATAGCGAGAGCAGGAACACAAGCAGGGGGAGTGGGAGAGGGAGAAGCAGGCTTCCCGCAGAGCAGGGAGCCTGATGTGGGGCTCGATCCCAGGACTCTGGGATCATGACCTGAGCCAAAGGCAGATGCTTAACGACTGAGCCACCCAGGCGCCCCCCCTAGAGTGCCCCTTTATCACATTTTTACAAAGGCACCTTTTGTGTTAGTGGAAACCCTGTGTAGCAAGCAGTTTTTATTGGCGGCAGGAGAAAGGCTGTGGTCAGAGGCTTTGAGGGAATAGAGAATTTGCTAGAGAAACAAGAATACCAGATTGACTAATAGATTGAAAATAGGGGCTGTTAAAATTGGTAGGGTAAAAATGCTGGAAGGTAGAAGATTAATTCAGAAAAAAAAGATTAATTTAGTTTTTTGAGCATTAAACATTAGGAAGGGGATAGATAATCTCTGCAATTGATTATGAAGATTTGGATCAGAGTAGCAACTATGGAAGTAAGGTTGTAGTCATGGAACTAAGAATTAGAATATTCATTCAAGACATTTATGTTATGCAGGTCATTATTCTGTTTACTCTGGAAAGAAAGCAAAAATTCAGGCAGCAGACATTTACTTGAGCACCCACTATGGGTCGGGCACTGTGTTAAATTGAAGGGATACTTGGTGCCTTTCCCTAAGGCGTCCTGGTCTTGTGCTGCAGTTAGCAAACTTTCTGTAAAGGGCCAGATAAGTTTTGCAGTTCATAAAATATCTGTTGCAACTACTCGGTACTGCTTTTTATCTAAAGGAAAAGGCATGGATGTGTTAAAATAAAACTTTATTTATAAACACAGGTGGTGGGCCATTTTGGTGACCTCTGGCCTCTTTTTTTCCACCTTTAATCCAGAATCCCCCAGTGGTACTTTGCAGTCAGCCATTTGGAAAATTATATTTTTTTGCTGATGTTATGTTCCAACTCCTATTCTGGAAATCGTCAAATTCCTGGAGCCTAGGAATTATCCTCTGGGTTTCCAGATACCCACAAAAGGGAGAAAATGTGTTGTTAGACTGGTGTCCACTTCTTCAGCTATTACAGATAGAGTGAATTCCCAGTGTGTTTAACAGATGTTATTGTTGGCTATAGATGCCTTTAGCTGTGCTCTTTGATCTGATAATTTTACTCATGAAAATCTATTAAAAAATAATTCAGCAGGGGCGCCTGGTGGCTCAGTTGGTTAAGCGACTGCCTTCGGCTCAGGTCATGATCCTGGAGTCCTCGGATCGAGTCCCGCATCGGGCTCCCTGCTCAGCGGGGGGTCTGCTTCTCCCTCTGACCCTCCCCCCTCTCATGCTCTCTCTATCTCATTCTCTCTCTCAAATAAATAAATAAAATTTAAAAAAAAAATTCAGCAAAGAAGAAAGGTAAAGCTCAGAACTTTTCATTTCAGTGTATGTGTGTGAAAGTTCTGCATTTTCAGTGTAACAAATTGTAGCTAGCCCAAATGTCAGTAGCAGTCAAGCAAATTATGGTATGTGATCCCTGTAGTATTATTTGCTGTAATTAGAAATTACATACTTTTTGACACAATGGAGGTGATTTTCTGTGCAGTCAAAAAAATAAAATATGTACATACAACATATAAATACAGCGTATCTACTGTGATTGTAACTGTGTCTTTTAAAGTTCAACAATAAAAAGGCAAAGTGCAACAATAACTTTATGCTTATGGATGTGTTTATGTGTTAGAAACCTGGGAAGGAGTAAAAGGAGAAATAAATAAATCCTGTCAATAATGGGGTGAAAGTTTTGATTCTAAATGAGAGGGCTAAAGTAGTTGGATCTTGGTTGTGGAAGGAGGGCAAATAATCGGTGCTGGAAGGTGGGGGAAACCTCTGGTGTAGTAGTGCGCTGAGCTCTATTAGGATACCAAATGACAGCTGGATGGGCACTGGGTGGGTACGTGCCTCACTGAGAAGAAAATACCCGCACGTGCCTTCTCTGTGCAAACCTTCAGGAAGACACACAAGAAGCGGCATTCAGATGTCTCAGTTGGTTTCACAGAATTTTCTCAAGAAGGCTTAGTGGAGAACACCATGTCTTCTAAGGACAGAGGAAAACTTGAAGACATAGCAAAAGCATACAGGGCTTGTTTTGAAAGTCTTATTTTCCCCCGAAGGGGAAAGAAAAGGAGTTCAAGAATCCCAGTATAGTGAAAGACCTCATTCAACTTTGTTATGTTCGGCATATCGCTCAGAAATCAAAGGAGAGCATCCTGCAAATGTTGCAAAGGAATTGGGAGAATGTTGAATAATGCTGCAGGTGATAAACAGCCTTATAATCTGCTGTACTGAAGAAAATTTTGAAAAATGTTATTGCTTTACCAGATTAAAGGAGAACGTGATGTGGGGAAAAAAAAGTTGTCTTCAATGCACTGTGCTATTCTAGATTGGATGCTGGAACAGAGAAAGGACATTAGTGGAAAAACTGATGAAATCCAAATAAAGTCTGAGGCTTAATTAATAGTAATGCATCAATGTCAGTGTCATAGTTTTGACAAATGTACCAAGGCAAGGTTGGATTTGGTTAGTTAACATTAGGGGAAACTGGCTGAGGGGTATATGAGAACTCTGTACTATATTTAATAATCTAAAATTATTCCAAAATATAAAGTTTATTTTTTATTTTTTTAAAGATTTTATTTATTTGAGAGAGAGAACGAGTGCGAGTGAGAGCACGCACACAAGCA